TTTTCTGCACAGTCTTGGCTCCATAGCTTTATAGCAAAAAGATAGAGAATAAAAGGAAAACATGGAGCTGTCTTATTTCACACAATGTTACCAATCACTGTATTTTTCACGTAGGGTTATTATTATGTGTTTTTCAATTTCCAAGTTAAAAACCTGCAAGAGTGTGGTCATTGCATGAAAGGAATCTCAAAGACAAGATTTTACACTGATGCACATTTACTGATGACCTTTCACTTTTTTATGTGATTGAATAAAAATCCATAAATAACTCAGTGTAGAGAAGAAACGTGATTAAAAATGTGGTATAAAATCTATATACAACAGTCCAGAAACAGATAAACTATGGAATATCTGTCAAGCTAGATAGATTGAATTAGGCAGAAATTTAAGCTTTTTACTCAGTATTAATTAACATTTCTAAATACATTTTACTCTTCAGAGACGAGGATAGGGAGGACTATTTGCAAACACTTACTGCATCTGCCTACCTGCTAAGGATAGGGTAGTTAATTAGATACTGCATCTGACTTCTACTAGGTATGAGAAACTTCTTCAACATGGTGGAGAAAAACGTGAAGTAAACCAAAATAAGGTGTAATGGTTTTCATAAAAAATGCCCGTGGGACTCCTACTGCCCTAAACAGTGTTTCTTCCTGTGGTGACCACATGCCTAATGAAGGTATAGCTCCATATGGTGCTCATCCACCATTTCAGGTAGCATCCAGGCACAGTGCATGCACAGGGAAGGACCAGAGCAGAAGGAAGCAGGGCTGGGGTATGACAGCTGATTAACAAGTTCAGGTAGTCAACACTAAATAAGGACAATCCAACCAGGGAATTTTTTAAATTCCCTAAACTTGTTGGTGGGTGTGAGTTGCTCCTCTGGAGACGCATGCCCTTCTTCCTGCCAGTCTCCTGATAACCACTGTTATGTAAATCTTTGTGTGCCCAGATATTAAGTTTAGCCCACTACTAGTGATATACTGGATTTACTATTGTTTTTGCTTGGATAATTGTACCCCGATTTGCATTACTTATTATTTTGTTATCCTCAAATAAGTTGTTGATCCCAAAAACTATTGACTGGTGGTGTCCACTACCGTATGGAACCTAGAGCATGGCAGGGATGTCTTAAGCCCCTACAATGATGAATATATTATGGAATGTACTTCATGGTCCCAACCAAATGCACAGTTTAAGCTGGATGAAAAGACCATAAAGAGCTGAGAGGAGATGCTCAAGTATTCAAAGATGGACATCACTCAGGAAAATTGCTTCTTGTTAGATAGTTTGAAAATGGCTGTGCTCTGGTACCCAGGAGCAAAGAATGATTCGTGACTATCCTCTAATCTGGAGTTCAGAGATCTACACTCAGTTCTTCAACACGCACTAGGCTTTGTGCACAATTTTGTGAAAATAATTAGGTTTCCATGATCCCTAGGGTTCACATTCTTTAAAATCAGGAAAAAAAAAATTTTTTTCCTTGATTTTACAAAGAACAAGTTCCGAATTTCACAATCATTTAGCTTTTATGGCAATGAAGACCAGAGACAAAGAACATGCAGAGTGGGAAGTGGTTTGCAGGATACAGAGCAGGTAGGCTTTGTCCTATCCATCTTTAGAAGTCTGAAATACATTACTCTTACTTACAACCCAATGATGCCTTTTTATTTGGTGTGGTGAAATAAGGATTTTAGAGTACTGTTCACCTGACCTGGATAAGGTAGTTGTTTTATGTGAAAGACGCTGCATCCTAAATGTGCCTAATTTTTTACTGATATAAGTGCAACATTGGGTGGTCAGCTGTTACGTAGACATCTATGTCGCAGCTCATATAATCATAGAATCATAAAATGGTTTGGCTTGGAAGAAACCTTAAGGATCATCTTGTTCCAAATCCCTGCCATGGGTAGGAACACCTTTCACTAGACCAGGTTACTCGGAGCCCCATCCAGCCTTAAACACCTCCAAGGATGGGGAGTCCACAATATTCTCTGGGCAACCTGTTCCAGTGCCTCACCACCCTTACAGTAAAGAATTTCTTCCTAATATCTAATCTAAACCTTCCCTCCTTCAGCTTAAGGCCATTCGCTCTTGTTCTTGTCCTACCCCAACATGCCCCGTTCACAGAACAGTCCCTCTCCAGCCTTATCGTAGGCCCCTTTGGGTACTGGAAGGTGGTATAAGATATCCGTGGAGCCTTTTCCTTTCTAGACTGAACAGCCCCAAATCTCTCAGCCTGTCTTCATAGGAGAGATGTTCAAGCCTTGTGACCAACTTAGTGGCCCTCTTCTGGACTTGTTCCAACAGATCCATGACTTTCTTATATTGGAAACTCTTCATCAGTGTTCAATCCATCTTTAGAGGGAATGCCAAAAGGAGCAAGTAGAAAGGTAAAAAATAACTACCCATTTAGAAAGCTCCAAGGAAACTGCTGAAACAATGACATACTTCATGCTGGGAATAAAGTGTTTATGTTGGGAATAACTCATCAGGAATAGACTCTTCAGTGATCTCTGTCAGAGAACCAAATTACCTGGCTCTGTGGAGGTACATGATAGAATTTACCTTTTCCGTTGTAAAGCAAAGCAGGAAAAGACCATAAATCCAAAGGTCTGCTTTATTTTAAAATCTTCTTGTCTCTTAAGTATTTTGTGGTTTGTTATATAAATGGAAAGAAAGAAACAAAAGGGGAGAAAAAAGGAAAGGAAAAAGGAAGAATACTTTGCATTAAAGGAGGTGCCTTTGTGTCATAGCTTCCTGAGAAACAAAAAATGCAGAACTTGAGCCTATTTTAGTCACGTTCAAGTAAGTTGAGGGAATATGGGTGGACTGAAACAATCACCAAATTTAAATATGAGGAGTTGTGTTTTTCCAGCACAAAGGTCTGAGACTTGAGATTATGTTCAGTCAGACTTGGCTGAGAACAAACTCATTGCCAGTTTTCTTCTAATTAGGACAAAATCATTGTTTCATATGGAAATTTCCTGGCTCACATTTAAGATCGCAGAGCAAGACATAATGTGTCACAAGTGTGAAGCAGTGCTTAATGGGACAGTACACTCTGCATTGCTGCAGACTCCAAGTCTGTGCTAGAAAAGGTTTGTCATGCCTATGTCTGCACCATTTCTCCAATGCAAGTACCAGGTACTAAGGCAATGTCTGCAACTTCAGTACCAATATGGCAGGTTTTCCATGTGTGAGAAATTAGATTATTATGTTAATTATTGGCTTGGACCAACTCAAGTGTGTGTGGCAGGGGTGGGGTGGGGGGAAAGGGAGAAGTCAAATTTTACAAAGGTGAGGTAATGCCTTATCCCATACCTCAGCCCCTGTGAGCCTCCGGCGCAACCTCTGGGCAGCTGTTGGTCAGAGGCAGCCCAGGAGCACTGCCCACACTACACCCCAGAGCCCCAGAATGGCCAGTGGGATGAAAGTCCCACCTGGGAAAGGTGGCCAAAGGGGGCCAGAGCAGAAAAAACCGAAGACATGTGGTCTCCACATGTTTGAACACTTCATCTTCTAGCCTCCTACAGCTGGATCTATGCAGGATGTAGGGATAGTGGCTATATTTCTCTTTTACTCTCTCTTTCTTTACTTCTTCTCCTGATTTCCTTTCTTAATATTTTGGGTGTCTTGAGACTGGATGGGCTGGATTTTACTAAGCTGTATATGTCATCATATGCTAAGTCAATTCTTTGTGAAATGCTTTATTTTGGTTGAATGTTACCCTTTAAACTTTTGTCAATTACTCTTATTTTCTAAAGTTTAGCAGTAAAAGTACCCTCTGAGAAAATGTGTTCAGCTTTTCTCATATGCACTCTCTCTTAAGGTGTTTAAAAGAGCTAAAGGCTCTTCTAATATGTCCGGAGGGTGGATATTGTTGTAGCTTTTATATTTTTACAGTAAAACCCCTTCAGTGAGCTTGTAGCTCAGGGCCTGGCATCTTACACCACGTTGCAAATTTAGAGATAGATTCCACAAACTAGAGACGGGGATAAAATTTTCACAATTATGTGTTATTGTTTCTCCCACACTGTATTCAAAGCCAGATGCTTAAAGGTTAATGTAGATTTACTTGGGGAGTATTGATGATGATGATGATTATAATACTTTACTAGCACTTACCAATCTGTTTTGTACATGGTATAGCTCTGTATGCCTTCCTCCCCCAATCTCTCTTATTGCTTTCATTAATAAAGCTGTATCCAGTCACATTTGGTGCTCAGGCTGGTTAGACCTAACTGCTCAAATCTTAAACCTACTCCAATACTCAGTCTTTTAAGATTAAGCTTTACTCAGCTTTCTTCCTCTCTCTCCTGTTTTAACTAAACCATGTAGTCAATATGAGCATTACATGATCTCTGCTTTCAGCATCAACTACAGGAATTGGCTACTGGATTCCAGTAAGAAATCCTTGAGGCAGTGGGGGTGCTTAGTAGCAGCACGTCTTTTCACCAATACAGACGTGTATAGACTTGATTTTATTTGTAATTCACGTAGGTCCTATTCACTGTGCTGCAAATTCATCCTTATATGGCTTCTTTTCATTATTTCCTCTACCTGTGAAGAATTATTACTCCATAACCTCTTCAGCACGTCCTTGTACACACTTTCAGTCAGATGCCTGTCAGAGATGGCATTTCTTTTAAGAGGAGAATTTCTTTGTGTGTTTTCTCTCTCCGAGTTTTGAGTCTATATTACAGTGTACAAATTGTTACACATAGAGTAACAATGTTACCTAAAATCCTGGAGATGGCAGTAGTTGCCAATAATTCATTTGAAAAATAAGCCTATTTACAAAAGCTGAAAAATAAAGACATTTACCCTCACAGGAAAGCCAAACTGTATCTGCATGTGTGTAAAACATTGCAACATAAGGAATAATTAATTTTATTTATGAGTTCTTAAGTTCTAAACCAGGCTAGGAAATAGAGCTTGCAAATACATATGTTAAAGAATTTGCCCTAACACATAATTTATTTTTTTTTTAAATTCAGCTATTAATATTACTCAACCAAGTTTCAGTGGCACAGATGTCTTTGGCTATACCTCATTCCTAGCTTATTCTACAATCCCAAATATCACCTTCTACTATGAATTTCGCTTGAAATTTCAGTTGGCAAACCACGACTCAGCTTTACAAGATAACCTGATTTTTTTCACTGGACAGAAGGGCCAAGGTAAGCTTTATTTGTACTACCTATCCTTATACGCTTTCAAATACTCATTAAACAAGTAGGATAAAAATATATACAGGTTTTTCTTGGTTCTTTTTAAGATATAATTTCATTAGGGGGATAATAATCTCTTCAATACTTTATTGTTTTGTAAAGACACAGTAACTCAATCAGGTTGTATAAATGTTTCTTTTCATTATGGAGAAATATAATTGCTTCCAGCAGTTAAAGTTAACAGTTAATTTGACACTTGAGGTAGCATATTTCTGAACAGAAGAAATGGAAAACAAAGTCAGAGTTCTCTCTTGTCAGTCATACACATAAATTTCATTATTGATCACATATATTTGGTGTGCAATTTTGAGATGCTGCCTCAAATCTTCTTCTACTGATACTTACTTGATTGGAAAATCAATCTGTCCATCCAACATGCAACAGCCATCCTGCTGTGTGTCTCGACCAGCCACAGGGGCAGCCATGAATTGCTGCTGTTGTCACAGTAGTTCCACTTCCAAGACACACAGGACTCAACACTGAAACCCAACCTTGTGGCAGCTAGCTTTGGACTCTGTGTTACTCATGTCAAACAAGAGATTCTAACCCCTGAGACGACTCAATGCAAGTTAACCCAAGGTAGCTATGAGTAAGTTGTGCCACAGTCTGTATAGCAAAGCATTCAACTTGATCTGATTAACACAGCTGAGAAGTAGGTTATATAAATCTACTTACAGCATTTGTACTAAGATTTTAGCAATACTTAAGGTATCTCTTCACAGCACCACTCTGTGGCAGGCTGCATGGCATTAAAATTGCAATGGGCGAAAATAGAAATACTACTTGTGTTCTGTCCATCTTAGCATTACTCCACAAAGAAGCTATAATATGGATGAAAGTTGAAAAACACATAATGAAAATGTAATGCAGATGTAAAGTAGTCAGAGTAGAGAATACTTTATTCTTCATAGATCATAAGAAGCAAGTAATTTATTTTTACCTTGTTTCTGCAATTGGAATGTGACCTAACTTTTGGGTTTGGAATTATTTATTGGGTTGTTGAAGTCTAGGAGGGAGTTTTGGTGATGTGTCTTTATGTCTAAACCCAACACAGTGATGGAGAGCGATTTAGGTAAGTAAATATAAGACTCTACTACAATAGTAGATGCTTTACCATATCTAAAACATCACATGAGTTTGGCAGATATGGTCCATGAGTTACAGAAACCCAATGCTTATGCTGAAGAGTATCAGAAAGTTAATACTTCAGGAGGATGAAAGAGGGGAGAATTTATTATTAGGACTTTTAAGATACTGAGCTCCCAAAATGCACCATTAAAAATCAATTTGTGGGAGGCATGATGCAGTAACATATATGTCTAAAAAAACAACTGCAGTACATCACATCAGAAGGATACAGAGTATTCTCCATTGCTATGTTAGTACATTTGATATTTTCTTAGGTCTTGCTTTCTGTTAAATTTCATTGCTTAAGTTCCTGCACCCTCTGGGGCTTCTTCCCCTTTCTCCCTGTGGCAGACTTCCAAGAATCAGACTGTTAGTTTATTGCTATGCAAACTAAAACTCGTTAGCTTAGAACAGCTCAGCAGTTTACTCATCTGTGATATAATTCCGTCTGCTACTTTTCATTTGCAAATATTCTGTCAAATTTAGCTAGTGCAGCTCAGCCAATCAACTGTACTTCAGTGTGCCATGACACCCTGGTACAGAACATTTACTTAATTTATCAGGTTGATTACCCAAATTAGCCTAACTTACATACGTACTAAACCACTGTGAGCGTATTTAAACTCAAAACTCAGCTCTGCCTCTGTCTCTGTGTGAATCAGATTTTGCTAAATTTTCTTCCAAACTTCAGCAAAACATGGTCAGACATGTAATCCTGCTAACTGTACTACATTCACGCTATTTTAACTCCATCTAGGTCGAACGCTCTGTATGCCACATTTTATCCCTGGGAGAGTCACCACTCCCTCCCAGGCAGCTTTTCCTTTCGCTTATCGGTGTGGACAGAGGAAATATTGTCTTTCTTTTTTGAGTAGCTGAATCGAAATGGTGTGTAGAGTTGAAGTTACCTAAAACATTTCCATCTAGTCTTTCAGAAAACAGTGTTCAGAAGCCAGTGTCCCCATCATTAAATTTTTATAAGAATAGCACACAGCTCTGATGTAATACAAACACAAAGGAATCTTTAGAACATTCTTTTCAACAACAAGAATGAACCATCACATTCAGGCATGTTTCTGCAACCTTGGGAACTGAATTTCAATCACCTGTTTGAAACATTTCCAATTGTAGGAAATGTAACCAAACAAAAATTGTACCAATTAATTCATTGCCTTTGCTCCAGATAGAGAAAATGCAAATATGAAATGCAGAACACCAGTGGTGCAAAATAACCTGTTTTTTTTCTATTACATTAATCAAAAGAGAACAAAAAAAATTTGCTGCAGTAAAATTTGTCTCAAAAAGGTCTGCCTGCAGGGTGTATGCTGTACTCTCCAAGTGATTGTGGAGTGTAGGTCTTGCAATAATATTTAGCTGACCTGAGTTTTAAAAAAGAATCTTACCAGTGACATTTTTATTAATGAGAATTACTAGCATTCCAGGCTTATTATGCAGTTGTCAGGCAGAAATCTGGCTTTTTGTTGCTTTGTATATAGTTTGTGTGTGGGTGGGAACATTGCAGTATGATAATAATGCATTTCTGCATCCCCTTGTCAAATGAGGGCAACACTTAGCAAAGAGAAAACAATGAGGCACCTGATAAAATGCTGTTGGTAAATTGCTGTTTTCTCCTTAGTTTAAATGGCTGGGGAGACTGAGCACCCTACATTTTAATTACCAGAAAGCAGTTTCTTACCAAGTGAACTTCACTTACTTCACCAAGAGCAGATGCAGTTGTTCTAACAATTTACTGAGTATCAAGCAATAACACTCTCACCAGGAGGAGTGTGAGGGGTTTTGTAGCCTATGATCTTGCTATAAGGAGGTATTTTTAATATTTCATGTACATTTTCCCCTTTCTCCATTTCATCCCATTTCTTGTAGTTAGCATTCTCTTGCTGCACCCTACCTGATTCCCCTCCACTGTTGTCTCTGTCCAAACCACGGGCATCGATGTCATGGCTAACCTCCTGTGAGCTACTATCAAATTCTGTTCCAGCACATAGTTAGAATTAAAAACTGTTTAATTTATACAGACTCTTAACATTATATTATTCTGCCCCAACTCTGGCAGTATTCAAGGCCAGGTTGGATAAGGCCTTGAACAACTTGATCTAGTGGAAGGTGTCACTGTCCATGACAGGGAGGAAAGGGACTAGATGATCTTTTAGGTTCCTTCTGACCACTTAGCAGGGTATGATTCTATGACTATCTTCACCACATCATTTTTGTAGAGTCTTGACACTGTTGCATTTCTTTGATTTCCAAAAAAGCATTTTAAAAATTCAGAGAGCATTTTAAATAATGGTTTGTCTTTACTGTGCTTCCCCTAGTTTTGCAGGTCAAATCATGTAAGTACTTGTAAACATTGCTGAAAATAGAAACTTTAGTAATGATTTTTTAAAAAGAATTTTTATTTTCAGTTTTGAAATCCTTCACTGGTAACGTGCCAGTGGAACTGAAAGTAATGGAATTTCATTCAGTCATGAACAAACCATTGTAATAAAAAATGAATAGTTTGTGTTCTGTATAACTCAGTGTAACTGCCCACTTTCTACAGAGGCAGCGTATTCACAGTCCTTGAGATAAGCTTTTCTTTTTCGATATATTCCTGTTGTGTCAAAATGCTGTACAGAAAAAACAAACTTCTGTATAGAAAAATCACTCCCTGCCCCCCACATTGCTAATGCAGCATGTTCATTTATAGAATATGAGATAAGGGGAATATGGCAGTTCTGGCTGTGAAACAGCAGTATGCAGAACTTCAGTGGGAGGACAATATAGGTATCATTGTTTCTTGGGGTAAAGCCTGTTTTATCTTTTGCAAATGAAGCAAATTTCCCATGCATTTGAGGCAGAGGCATCAAGACACATCTGAAATGAGGGTCACCATATGATTCTGGAAGAACAAATAGAAAGAGACCTTCCCAGAAACAAATAGAAAATGAGATAGCCTTATGAAAACAGAAGAAAATATCAAATAAAGCACAGTGTGCAGGCATGAAATTGAGCACTGAATTGCTCGAATTCACATGAGACTTCTAAAAATAAATGAATGGCTTTGAATTTCAATTCAGGACATCCTAATGCAAGAGTGAGTACATTCTTCTCCTTCACCATTTTTTGCATCCTGGTTCTTTTACTGTACAAAGTGTATATGTAAAAGGGTGGGAAGAAGAAACAAGTTGATCATGTTTTCTCTAAACAATGGTGATTCCATTCTTGCCTGCATGAGAGATTGAATTCTCTTCAAAGATGCCAGTGTAAAAATGTGTTTGCTTGGACAACAAGGAACAGGTCCAAGAATTGAATTCTTACTCATAGGCTTTAAGTCAGACTTAAAATCCTTCAAATGAGATTTTATAGTATGGTGACTGAAAAACACAAACTGCAATTATATTTATATATCATATAAATACAAAGAAATTAAATTATTTATTTCAAATTTGAAAATTAATGGGTTCTAACCTGAAAGTTAGAAAGGCTTTAGAGAATTAAAGCATATGGCTGTTCTGACCAGAGAAATACCAGTAATGAACAATCTAGAGCCACCCTAATCTGGGGAAGGTACAATAAAGTCTCCAGGTGCTATTGAGTCAAGGGCAGCAGATGGAGCTTGATAGAAGTTGCTAGAGCTTCTTCAGGCACATGTCCCTGCTACTCCCCTTGCCTCACAGCAGCAGGTGTCTGCAAGTTTTGAAGCTGTTAAAGTACCTAACATGAAAGCTGGAAGCATACTGGAATAGGATTAAGTCAAGGCCTGTTCTCACATGCAACTTGAAATTTCAATTATGTTTTTTTTAGATTTTGGAAAAAGTTGAAAATTTATTCATGTTCCATGGGGAAGGAACAGCAATGACTTCTAAATCCACCACGGTCAACAGGTTTTGTGAACGTCACTAACTTAACTGCAGTGTGAAAAAGATCTTCCTTTAAAAAGCCTATAAATGTTTAAAATCCCTGCAGTTTCTATTATAAATCCACAAAAATACTGGAAATAGCATTACAAGTTAGGCAGAGATTATTAGAAATACTTAAGAAGCTTAAAACCTTCCTGGTTAAAATATTCTAAACTGCTACCTTTTCAGTGAATTTGGAGAATATTTTATGTACTGGTATTTACTAAATCCTGGAATAAGTAGTTATTATTTTTTTGTGTTTCAGGTCTTAATGGAGATGATTTCTTGGAGTTAGGCCTCCGTAATGGGAGAGTGGTATATAGCTACAATCTAGGTTCTGGCACAGCAACGATCATCAGCAAGGCACTTGATCTGACACTCCATATTCATGTCATCCATCTTGGCAGAAATCTCCAAAAAGGTTGGCTGAAGGTAAAAAAGTAATTCCTTTAGAAGGAAAATGTTCTCTGTATTTTTTCACATTTCATATGGAAAGATTAAAAATTATTTCTGTGTTTCTCTGTAAAGCTGGGAGGACTGTCTTCCTTAGGAGTTCCTAAATAAGGCAAATTCCTTTGTTGTAACAAATATAAATGTCTCATTGAAAGGTGGATGATCAGAAGAATAGAACTGTCACTTCTCCTGGGAGGCTGGTTGGACTCAATGTCTTCAGTCAGTTTTATTTAGGAGGTTATCGCGAGTATACTCCAGAACTCCTACCAAAGGGACCCAGATTTAAAAATGGCTTTCAAGGTAAAGATTACACCATTTTCAATTCCTTTTAAAACATGCATTAGATTGTTTCAGTTGCCAATGAAAGAAAGGTATAAAATCTCTGTCTTATCAGGAAACAAATTGGGTTTGTTGAATTTCCTTGGCTGAAATTCCTGTGGCTTTTTCATTGTTTCACCATGATAGCCTAAGAAATATGATGCAAAAAGAGGCTTTACTAAATATTTTTAATATTTTCTGTTTCTGCTAAAAATGGAAGTTCTCCATTATATAAACTCTTCTTATGTGTCCCCGTTCTACAACATCTTTTCAAAAGGACTTCGTTTCCCTGTGGTAGTTTAGATTCTTCTGCCACTGTGACTAGCAGTGCTAGTTTGGGTAATAGCTTTCATGCTGTAACCTTCTTTCTGATAGGACATCATGAAATCTGATTTTTTTTCCAAACATTATGATCTAGGTCTCCAGACAGGACCTAAGTAATTCCTCTTGGGAATATTTATCTAGCAGATACTAATTTCTACCTCAAAACTAATATTTGAAGCTTTGTATAAGTCTGAATTCAACTCCTACCAAATCAGCAATGAAGCAAAGGATTTGTTTGTGACACTTTATTTGCATTCCTTATTCCCTTAGAAACAATGTGCTTGATATTTGTGAGGTAAACTTGGATTTATTTTAAGGACTGGAAAGCCTTTCAAACGAAAAGAAAACATTTTGCAATAGTAAAACAAAGTCTGAGTTCTCAGTTATAAAACTGGGGGCATGTTATCAAAGACAAGCATAGCAATAAAATTCACTTTCATATGCTACTACATCCTATCTGCACTGAGACCATGTAACTGCCTGTTTTCCAGCCATCACCTCACTTCTTTTTCTTACACAGAAATTTCCTCAAAATCGATTTCATATCCTACGGTCAACTATTCACTCAGAAAGTCATATTAACTAATATCTCAGCTGTCTCTGTCTTTTCAGGAGGTATGGATTGTATAGTTATACTTATCCTAGCCTCTTAACAGCTTGCAAATTGGCATATCATAAAACCTAATGTCTGTGCAAGTATTTTAGTTGGGTCAATATTTGTGAAGCACTTCTGGCTTTACTTATGGACATGTTAATGTCAGGGGTGACCAGCAGGAATCTCTGGTGCTTCACTTTAGCCATAAACTTTTTGAAACTGTTGTAACTGTATTTTAATGGCTGAATTTCTACAAATGCAGTATAAATAATCTTTCAAAAAAAAAAAAAATCAAAGTTCATGTACTGTTAGTTACCGTACTAGTTATTGATTTTTCTTACTCTTTAAAAAGAAGTATTTAGTACAAAATTTTATCAGTCATGTAGCACATAAACAATTTACTCTTTGCCCCTGACATTCAGAATAGTAAGTCCACTATACTTTCTAATTCATTCCATTTTCCAGTTCCCAGCAGCAACTTGTCTCTGTTCTCCAGGGCATACTGATTTTCAAGGAATCTGCATTTCTCTATGACCAATATCATATGATATTTTCTTATGTAGTCAGCATCTCATTCGTTCTTCTAGTTCAGAATGTCCCCACTTTCAGCTCTCAGGATCCTCAGGATCAGAAATAAACCTCCTTAGCTCTTCTCCAGAGTGGGAACCGCAATACCAACAACATAAAAGAAAATTCTGAACTATTTTACTTCAGTCAATTTGCAGCTGTAGGGAACTCACAGAAAAACTCTGGAAGTGACAGTCAAGATAAATTTATCTAGCACATAGTTGATTAAACCACTCAGACTTTTGGAAACTGCTGTTGGCTGCCTTTAAAGACATGATTTATTAAAGCCATTTTGATTCTAATACCAGAGTGTACCTCTCCTTTTGTAAGCAATCACTATTGCATGAAGAAACATTGAGGCCAGCCTTACTGCTGCAGACTAAATGTCCCCAGTGCAATAATTTAGAATTTTTACTCTGTACAGCTACTGTTTCAGACCATTTCCTCCCTTACTTGAATGCCTTTAGTAGTTTTTCAAGTAATTTCCATGGAGTAGGAGGAAACTGAAAATGTCTCTAATAAGCTGTAATTTAATAATCAAAAGCTGGGGAATTTTAAATTTAGAAAATTTGGAGATCAGCACCTATAGACTCTTTTGAAAGGCTTATTAACATTTGATGGTACCATAAGCAATTTACAAAACTTCTTTCAGCCCCTGAGAGAAGCTGAAGAAACTAGTAAAGGTAGAGCTCAGATGAAGGAGCCAAGTTCGTGTGGAGTTTGAGGCTCTCTGTGCTTCATCTGAATTTGAGGCTCCTCGTGGGTTTACAAGAGCCTTTTGTAAATGGGATGGTAGGATGGTTTACTTAAATGCTTGGCTCTTTTTTCGTTTCCTATAACAGTGTAATTAAGGGACCTTTGAGAGTTTTCTGAGATGTGTAACAGAGCACACTGCAGCTGCTCTAAAAAGTCAAATGTGGGTTTTAGGTAGTTGCAAATCTTGCAGCCAAAGAGACTCAACCTGCTGATTATGAACAATCTGAAGTGGGAGTATAAAACCAACCACCTTGTGTTCAAAGGTCTGCACAACTCAACACAATGACTCACACAAAGTGAGACAGATAAGTATTTGAAAAAAGCTGGAAGTTACAGCTGAATTTCCAAACCTCCCCTCCCATCTCTGAGAGAGGCATAAAGAAATCTGGTGTCAGGAAGAGTTCTGATGTTTCATGCTCTGTGCTACCATGACAGCAGGATGTAGTCTCCAGCCACGGATGTAATTGATGGAGAGCCAGGGCTTGCATACAGAAATAAGTGAGGAGCAGAGAGAGGAGCAACTGGTTGTTCCCATGGTCCTGTTCGTAAGCAGGATGAAGTATAGCTATGGAAGTAATCTGTTCTTTGACAGCAAATACTATTAAATGGAGGAGTAAATAGGCAAAAGAAGCTGTTACCATAAAGCTGGACTGTTGAACAACCTCTTTCGTGCTGACTGAGCCACCTCTTCATATTTTGCAAAAGAAGTAAATAAAATTCCAGGTGCTCCAGTACTTTTATTTAAGAGAAAGTAAACCCAGAACACAGATGAGTTCCATAAAGATACAAATGTAGCCTTTTGGTCAAAGTTTAAATTCATGATAAAGTAGAATATATTGCAAGCCTGACAGAGTAAAGACTACTTATCTTTATGTTCCTGCATTGCAGATGTCACAGAAGGAAAGTGAGTTCTGAACTAGCTTTTAGTCAGTCTTACGTCTTCCATCACAGTTTGGTACGATGCACAGAGGCCCTTTGGGTGTTTCAGTCACAGCTCAGAGCAGTCCTGAGAGTCACTGTGGGGGCCATCTTCTCTTTTAGACAAACACCCCACTCACAACCAATCAAGAAAAACAGGGGAAAAACAAAGCATTTTAGGATAGGTAGAATTTTAGACATCTGTAAATTCCGTATGGCATTCAGATAGAAAAGATTTTATCCATGTATTTATTTCTGTCAGTTCTCTTACTGCATTTTTAGTACATATTCTTGAAAATACTTGCTTTGTGCATTTTTTTGTCAAATTAGTGCCAAGTGTTTACAAGCAGTAAGGGAAACTAGTGAGAAATTTTGGAAAAAATTCTTTGAACTATAAAGATATATCAGAAAAAAAAAAAAAGAAAAAGTAAAGCTGAGTAATGAATTCATATTTCTTATTATAATCTCTCAAGTTTCCTTAATCCATTCCTGGTGGCTCTTTAGTGGTTTGTGAGCTCTGCTTAACTGGGCTGAAAGCTATAAAATAAATTGAAAGTAAAAAAAGTCTTTGCAGGAAGCTCCAAGTGTGGTCTAAGGAGTCCCAAGACAAAAAATTACAAACAAAAAGGTAGTGTATAATCTCTGAGTGCACTGTCTTGATGTCTGATTTCAGTTTAATTGCATAAAACTCTGATCTTCAGAATCTCACTAAGTTTAACTCACAAACTCAGAAGCTTGAGTTCCTCTCGCAAACTTGGCTCTGTCAGAAAACCTCTCCATTATTCAGAATAGTTGGCAGCCTCTCATTAAAAGGGGCCCAGAACTGGCAGAGCAAAGGGAATTCAGGTCAGAGAGAAGGTCAGCTGATCCCTCTGCAGAAGGTTGTATAGTGTTTGCTACAACAGGCTCAAATTCCTGCTCTGACTCCTTCATCTGCATCCCCGTGACTAAGAATCAGAAAAAAATAGGGAAATTAAATAAAAGTTTCTGTTGAACCCAAAATACTCTTGTACCTACTACTTGCTTTGTTCCAGTGCTCAAGAGCTGCTTCTAACCTAGATGGCACAGTTAGACTGTGGTTGGTACAGTTAAATTAGTCATCAACACAAATGCCAGTTTATTTTCCATGATGATCTTAGCAGTCCTTGGGGACTCACTGTGCTTTCCATTGTTTACAGAGAGCTCTGGGCTGCTTTTTCTTAGCACTTCAGCAAGACTCAGGAGAACAGAACATGCTTTATCTGCTAATGATAAACAGATGAAACATTAGTTAGGATTTACCAAGCATAAGGTGGCCTAAAAACCAGCCCTGTAAACAGGAAAGAACAATAATACAAAGATTGAAAATAATCATCAAATTAAGCTATTTTTATATTGTTTATTATGAGTTTCTGAATAACCAGTTATATATCAATATAGACAGAACTATGAAATGTGTGTAATATGGAAAAGCCTGTCTAAGAAAGCTATTTTTAATAACATTGTTCTAACTGTGGTTAAATTAGTGATCTTGCTGTAGATATTACTTATACAAAGTATATGATTATAAAAAATCCTATTGGATATTCATTGGGTCTTTCAGGTGCAAGTCTTTTTCTTATGTGATTTCAGTGAATCATGCAAAAACTCACATTAAGTAATGTTTTAAAAAACAGTGTAACAGTTACTTGCAATCTCCATATCATATCCTTTCCTTGATTTTAATATTAAGCAGAGAGCCTCCAGCATGCACTGATGAAAAGCTACTATTCTCAAGCTTTCAGACACTGTGGGAATTCACTATATCTCAGCTAAATTGTATAAATCAGATTTAGAAAGGTATGAACATTTCCAAATACATTACTGTACTAGTTTAACTAAAGTAGTTTAAAACCTGATTTTTAGTTTTTATATATATATTTTTGTATATATCTGGGTAGCATCTCTAAAGTGCTTAGGGCTACCTTTAAATGTGACTTTACATCACTTGGATGCTTGCGCATATTTTGTAAAGTTACTTAGGATTTGATCCAAAAAGATATACTATATGGCATCAACTTCAGTTTTGCAGGATATAAATTAGCACATGGATCCATAAATATGATTCAGAAATACTGATGAATTAAGTTAGGCTAACTATTCTGTGACACCACTAGGAGAGCAGACTCTCCACTGTCCTGTTGTTTGGTTTGGTTTGACTTCCTATGTCTGTTTTAAACTTCATTGATTTCTTTCTTTTTTTAAGGTTGCATTTTTGATGTTCAAGTTCGTACAAGCATCAATCAAGGGTTTAAATCACCAGGCACTCCAGAAGGACACCCCAATTCTGGTCGCAATGTTGGACAATGTAAAGATTCCCCATGCAGTTTAATAAAATGCAGAAATGGTGGGAAGTGCATAGAAAGGGGCTCTACTGTTTAGTAAGTATATATATATATATATATATATATATTAGAGTACAGCAGAGACTGATCTCTAGACTAATAACTATGGTAATTTAGTGTGTTGATAATAGAAGGAGACTAATAGAAAGGGAGAGAAAGAAAGAGAAAGAAAGAGAGAGAGAAAAAGAGATGGACTGGTTCTGCTCCACTGAAGTGACTGGTATCCAGACTTACTATGAACTGCATGGGTAGAACTAGGTGTGACAATTTTTTAAAACAAATGAGCAGTCAAGGTAGCAGAGAAGAAATAGTGAAGAGGAGAGCTTGACTGTCCTAATGTTTGAATGTGGTTGATGAGGCAAAAATAGGTGACTTCTGTTCCTGGAAATCAGTATTTTCACATAAGAACTCCCTTTCTGGAGTAGACCACTGACTGCCCAACATCAGAAATTTCTGAGACAGTTTAAACCTGTAGGAGCTTCAAACATTGTTTGAACTACATCAGTTCATCAGACAAGCTGTTCACATGGCTGATCTATGGAATAATATGTGGTAGCAATGACAGCTCACCCAGAAGACAAGTCTGTGGTCTTTTCTGCCTTGTCACTAAATGTAGATGAATCTAAGTACCCAAGGTGTAAGGCATGGTAAAGAACGAAGTACATTTGCAGTTCCAAACTGTTGTTGTGTGTCAACACTTCCATTGTAATAAATCTTGTTTTCAAACACTTTGTAACGCAGGTGTAAAACCTTTGCTGACGAGCCATTTTTTATTTTAAAAGTATCTGCCAAGATTAATTATACTTGCTTCCCTTCCTGTGCTTTCACATGTGTTCATTTATTTACATACATTTGCAACATCTTTTTAGAAAGAGAAAAGTGCTGATTTAAAACTTCTGAAGACACTGACTGAAAACGCTGCAGATAACAAGACAGATGAGGATGAAAAAACAGGCTTCACACTGTGGAGCCTCTGTGCATGATGCTGCTTAAAACAACAAAGACCCGTCCTTCTGTGTGCTACAAAAAAAAGTTTGCATACCTGTCAAGCTAAAAATAATCTACTTGACTCTGTATTGGAGAGAGAATTATATGGTAATTGGTTTTGCTGTCATGACAAAAATCTTTACCTGTAAGAGAACCAGTACAAAACTAGTGCTTCTAAAGCAAGTAAGGCTGTACTGAAATTTGGAAAACTGACCCTGAGATTCAGTGTACAGTTCCCTCCCTATTCCTCTTATGAGCGTATTTATATTCTCTTAAATACAGTAATGAAGGAAATGCTTTGAAAGATATAATTTGGGATTCCTTTCCAATTGTTGCACTGCAATATGTCCCAACTGTTGCATTTTGCATGATCCTTCCAGAGTTAAACCCTTACATTTAGAGTCTTTGATTTTTCTAAGAATAAGAAAGGATAATAGCCCTCTTTACACTTATGAGCATATTAGAGGAGATACGAAACTAAAATTTCAAGAGAAAAATAAGTATCATAAATATCAGCTGTAGTATGACACTTCCATTCACCCACCTAAATCCTTGCTGCAGCAATTTACTCAGCCATGCTAAGACACCTTAATGTCTATAAGGGACACAGAACCACCAGCAGCAGCATCTAGAGTACATTTGGAAAGCAGGTGGCAGGTTAGAGTGGCAGCTGGTGACATGAAAATATTGCAAGTTTGATATTATAGGCAAAGTTCTTTTTCATCATTACAGTTTAATAATTTGCATTACAGATCAGTTTAGGGTTTGTTCTAAAATTTGTGGCCATTGGGGGGTTGTAATTTGTCTTTTCTAGGTTTTTTTTGTTTGTATTTAACTTGTAGTGACCTACTACTGAATTATATTTCTGTCTTCATATTTCAGACATCTAGGCCTTCACATACTATGTGTATGTGCACGCACATATCAGTAATGGTCACCTTTTCCTCTCACAAAAAAAAAGTGAAACTTTGCCAAAGAGGAGTGGATGTAACTTACATATAATTTCTATCAATGCATAGTAGCTGTCAATACCATCTCACATTTTCTCAGAGGAAACTTCCTTCTCTTTTAAAATCATCGGTGTTCCTTTGAAGAGCAGAGTCCTTGAGGGAACTGGATTTGCATTCAAATATTTTTTTTCTCCTGAAATGAGATCTCTCCAGAGGTTTTTGTTGCTGTTTTGAGCTATTTTTATGTCCTGCTTTCACTACCCTGCCAGAAATTGTGCAGTGCTGTTAAGCTGTAGATTCAGTTACTATAGGGACAATGCTTTGATCTAAATAAAACTAGAAATACACAGCATTAAACTTTACATTCTGGCCAGCAACAGAGCACAATTGCTATGTTTTAATAAAATAAAGGGGAAATATTTGAATAATAAAATGAAGAATCTGTTGTTCAAGGGACAAGAGTATTCCCCATTATTTTATTTATGGCACAGAATCATATAAGATAGAAAACTATACACAAAAAGATTGTCTGTGATGTGTTATCATATCAACTGCCTTATCAACAAGGCCTTGTTGATGAAGTAAGAGAAAAAAAAGTGTGCCTTGTGTGCACTTTGAGCAGAACATCAGACATAATGGAGAGGATTGAGTTTGCTAAATGCAAGCATGTACTGTCACTTTAGATACCCCTGAGTAGACTGTTTGGAGATCAGCTGCTGCTTCAGAAGAGCTTAGGTCTTCTGTTGTATCTCCAAGCCTCATGTGGGTTTCTCAGTACTCTATAGCTTTCAAAGAGCATCAGCCACTCAGGTTTAGGAAGTTAAATCATACCCCTCTATGGCAGAGGTACATCCCATAAAATGAGCTGCTGCAGTCTCATTATTAGGCTAGATTCAATTAGAACAAATTTTCAGCGCAAGGACAGAATCAATATTTAACACAAGGACATACTTTTATAGTTTGTAAGGGAAAAGACATTTAGCTATTTAATTGTTGTGGTTTAGAACAATGCAAGTTTCTATTCTGGGGAGTGAATTTGCTGTCTAAAAATTCCATTCCGTGGTTCTCTTTGTTTAAATACGGTTAATCGCCTTCCAAACTTAGTTTCTTCAGACTCCAGTTTTACCTTCTAATCTAAAGATGGACTGCTTTTTGTTAATGCTCTAGTTTTCCACTGCGTGAATTTAAAACCACTCTTACTTAGAGATCTACTCCCTTGCTCAGCATTTTTCACTTCCAATACAACACAAATTTAAGAACTGTGTCCAGAAATCTGCAGTAGTTTCAGTAGTCTGATGTGGTGTCCAATACATGCTGATACAAATTTGAGATGTCCTGCAATATCTGAGATAACCATATGATGTTAAGAAATGCGTCATTTCTTCCTGGAACAGTGATTAGAGGGTACCCTAGGGAGTTTCAGATAGCACTAAATATCTATCTGATCTAAGCTGTTTTAACTAATTAGATAAACTAAGGAAGCCTCTGATCTCCATCGACTACATGCCCATTTTACATATAGACTCCTAAATTCAGGTGTCAGAATATGCAGAGCTGAACTTCTCCTCATTTGTTTGATTTGACACCACATTTGCATAACTATAGGAAGTTCCATATTTGTAAGCATTGAGAATGATATTTTAAACATGATATTTTCTATATTTAATATAAAAATAATTTTTGTGTAATTTAGAAAACCACACTGGATTAAGAAAACTTTCCAATTCTTCACAAATCTTTTAGAACCTTTAGTTATTTCCCTATAACATTTGAGAAATGCTTCTGGTTTGACTAGGATTTTGTGTAGTAATATACAGAGATATTTCATACATAGTTTGTAAAATAAGATTACTTTTCAATAAATTTTTTAAATGTTGTCTGAATTTTTATATTAAAAAAAATTATGTTTTGTTCCATAACCAACAGTGACATACACTTGTTGTCCTTGCTTATGTAGAACGTGTGTTACTTGTTTGAGATCTAATTTTGGCTTTTGTAAGGGACTTTGAACTCAGAAAACCATTCTATGAATATTGCATGACACTCTTAAGAATCTGGCAAGACAACAACAATAAGAAGACATTAAATTAAACTATCCTTTAACTTCCTAAATACAAATATTTCAGAACTTGAAACGGTGTCTGAAATTTCCAGAATTGAAAGAGAACTTCTGTTATATTTCTCTGGGATATGTGAATTTGAGAGTTCTTGCTTCCTGAACTGGCCGACTGCCATATACATGCTGTGAAGTACACCCTATTAAGTATGTACTTTGAGGATTCAAGGTTATCCAGTTTGTTCTCGGACACACTATTAAAGTTGTATATGAAAGACTTTCTACCCTTTCCCACCTAAAACCATGCTTTATTAAAACATAAGAGATATTTTGGCAGTTGTTCTTGTGAAACTGGAGTATAGAAGAATTAATTTAATCCATGTTCTTCAAAAAGCTGAAAATATGGAAGTATTTTGCAGTGACATTTAGCTCCTAAGACATGTAAACTCAGAGTATCTCCAGCTGAGCCAAGCATATAAGATCCCATCACAATCAATGGGGGTCCAAGCCTTTAGAGTTGTCTAAACATTGGCATTCTAATGGCACAGGTCCTGGGACACCTTTTCTGGTCTTCACAATGTGTCCAGAAGAGCACAAGTCTTTCGCAGTTCTTCTGTTTAATCTGCTATCTTGACACATCTCTTAGATACACTGTGTATCAGATGGCAGATACAATTAGTCGAATGGCATTAAATGAATGTAGGACCTTATCATTAGAGTCATGCATGTATTGTTTTGTAGGAGGGATTGTGCTCCAGTTCCTGTGACTGTTTCAGCTGGAAACCCACTGATTAGCATATGAGCTCAGGCAGCTACTTGAGGATCCCATTTCCTAAACTTGAGCATTCAGTGATGTCCATCAGAAACTTGTCTCCGTGATGTCAAACTGCTTCTCTCATATACCCGTAGGAAGGCAACTGGGGGCACCTAATGTAATGTAAAATTAGCTGTCAATCTCAGAATGAATCTTGCCTCTTATGCCAAAGAAATACCAGGAGTGTCTGGATGATGCTCTACTTTTAGGTAGTTCTGCAAGAAGCAGAGAGTTGGACTCAAAAATCCTTATAAGTCCCTTTCAACTCGAGGTATTCTGTGATTCAAAATTAGTCTTTAAATCCCTGAGAGTCAAGGCACTAGTGATGTTGCAAGCTTATTAGGTTCTCTTGGTCTCGAAAAACAATAAGCAACCATAACCAAGAAGATATAAACTAGACCAGAGTGGCGGGCCACATGATGGAAAGGATTTGACATGCTGCCTCTTTTCCTGTCCCTCTGAGGATTAGGAAATTTTGGATCTAAACTTCTCAACACCAGTCAAACTTGCTTAGGAGTGTTACATGGGTTTTGTTTGTTCATAGACCATTGCCACTGTAGGCCAGCAAACATGTTCAGCTCTGTGCAAATAATTTTCAACTCATTTAAAAACTTTTGCTAGGTCATGAAACACAGAAATTAAAAGAAATTTAAACAGACATATGCATATACAAGCAAGGGAAAGGGGAAGAACCCTCATGTATGCTGCCCAACAGCAGTAGCTTCAGCTCCAAGCACCCTGTCTCACAGCCCAAGGAAGAGACATTGTTGTTTGCACTCAGGAGTTAAATTACTTCCCCTTCTCCGTAGCTTTCATGCCTCAAAGCATAACATTTATAGCTGAGACAGAAAGCATTCTGACCCTGATTTTGATGAATTGAGGTGCTTTTGCTTTTGCAGGGTCCTGTCCTCTTTTCCCCTTCATTCCAACTAGCTGTTTATCACTCTGAAAAGTTTGTTAGCTGGGTTTTGTTTACATGTTGTTGTCTGATCTGAAGGTTTGGTGAAACAGAAGTTTCACAGCCTCCTTATTATCTTTTATCCAGAAGCAGTGAGGTGATTAATGGAGGAAATGTAGCTCAGTGAGTTCAAAGAAAAAGTCAAGACTTTGCACATAGAAAAAAACCCCAAACACTGGCTAAGAATCAATCAAAATATATGAGTTTTCATTCTTAGCCTTGAGAGAGAAACCTTCCAGAAAAAATCCATAAGTGCTTTTATTCAGGGGAACAATGTTTTTATCATAAAGTGTCACTAAATTCTAAAATACATATTTCATTTTACCTTTTTCGTAAGGAGGGCATTTTAAGTGCTAAGTGTATTCTGTATTTAAAAATTCCTATAAAATTCATACTGATTTTAAATTTAGATGTGTGATTTTTTTGTTTGTTTGTTTCCCTGACCTGGATGAAAGAAAGGCATAAAGAACAGCAGACAATAACAATTACAATGATTCAGTCTGTTTACAAAATTTGCTTATGGTGTAGATTTACAATCACAGATACATGAAATCCAGATTGCCACCTCTTTTATGGCCGGATCCACTATCCTTTTTCCATCAGGTGCTTCAACAAACCTACCTCTAATGTGCCAGTTATAAGAATTTAGCAAATTAATAAGTGAAAGGCAGTTGCTGACAGACTCCTGTTAGTAGTTAAAATTTCAAACTGGTAGCAATTTCACATATGCTAACATCTGGTTTTATTTTTGTGGTTGCTCTTTGCTGCTTACCTTGCCCTTTTGAATGTCCACTTTAACTCCTCCTAATTTATGAAGCCAAGGCCTTTTTCAGTTATTTGTAGAGTAAGACATACAATAAAAAAAAGCTACAACCCCTTTTTTTTAACAGATGCTAATATTGTAATCTTAAGATTCAAAATAAAATGTTTCCTATTAAGAACATTTTTCTTTTATAATAAAGTGAACATACAAAGAAGTTAAATGAGGAACTTTTCTGTTAACCAGTTTGGATCAGACTATTAAATACAGGTATCCAAACTTGAAAATCTTGATTAGATTGCTACTGACATGTTGATTTCTTTTGATAAAAACATTGAATTCTTTCCTTTCACTTACCCTCCATAGCTGTGACTGCCTCACTGGATGGAAAGGTGCATTTTGCACAGAAATAGTGTCAGTATGTGAACCTGAGCATGATCCTCCACATCTGTGTAGGCAAGGTGGTACCTGTGTGCCACTGCCTAATGGCTACACATGTCACTGTCCTCTTGGAACAACTGGTACCTACTGTGAACAAGGTATGTCAAACGGATAGTGCATTGTACAGTTATGGGATAATGCATAGATGTAAAATCACAGTATTTTGCAATATATCAATTAAATGTGACATAGAGATATAAAGTATAAAATAGATTTTATTTACAGAAAGTGAATTTAGAAGTAATTTAAAACTATGAATCGTTAGATATTGTTTTCTTACTCTGCTCATTTTTAACACCATTTGTTCCTTCCATTTTTTCAAATCATTCAACCACATTCACAGGCAGCATGGACATGATTTGTTAGATACCAAGGGGACAGGAAGCATTACAGAGAAATGTTATAGTGCTTAGTTCAATTGCCAAGCTCACCATAATGAAGTATGATGAGAAATACACTTGACGGCTCAGTACTACTGCAGAAGGGGGAAGCATCTGGGACCTTATCTTATTTCTTCTGATGCTAATGGAGAGGTTCCTGGTTTTGTATTTCTTACCCTTATGTCTAGGAATCTTTTGTCTGTCTTCTTCTCTGAGAGATTACACAAATAAATATTCAACAATGTGGAAACACATGTGCTACAAGCTCAGGGACTTTTCCTGTGAGTGCTCAAAGTGTGCTTTCAGTGTAAGGAAATGCAGTACAGTCCACCCCTCCATTTCACTGCTCTTAGATTTATGTTAATATTGTACAAGCTTATGTTTTTCCTTTGAGAAGCTCTCTGCAGAACTTTTTGGAGAACTCCAGTTACTAGTAAATAGCCCCCTTTCCAAACTGCTTGTCAAAGTCCAGCCTCCCTTGTTGTGCGAGTTGCAAGCACAAAACTGAGAAGCTGAACTGCATCTGACCTGATTTGCAGTCCTCACACTATAGATGGATAGTTTTTAAATCCCATTACATTTTGAAAGAAAAAGAATATAGCTTCTGGAAAGTCATTGTTAAACTCCTTATTCCTTGTAAGAACGTGCTTGCTTTATTGCCTCTGCTGCAAAAGCTGTTCAAGGCTCTTTCTATGAACTTTTCAACTTTGAATTCTCATTTCAAGTGAGGTTTTCAAAAGTAATGCCATCGAGATCCAGGATACTGATCACCAGGACATGTGCTATACATAAAGCAGGTAATTAATCAGGCAAACTCTCCTGTGTTCTGGTTTCAGAATAGATTTGGATCTTCTTATGATGGGCACTATTATCAGTACAAATAGGTTATATCTGAGCAACAGAAAATTGTATTTCTTGTAAATTGTCTTCCTTTTAGTAATTCCTCCACCTGGTAAACACATTAGAGGGTTCCTCTGTTTTATTTAAAGGACTATTTGTTTTTATGAATAGGGACTATGGATCCTGACCAAACTCTTTGCCCTGTATTTCACCTTACTCTGGCAGAATAATGAATTATCATGAGATTTTTCAAAGAGCAGTTTACTCTTTTAGTGGGTGGTGAATTGCTAAAAAACAGCTGCTTATCAAGATTGAATATCTTATCTCTAGATTAATGGTGGTTATTGGAGCCAAAAGAAAAAGAGACAGAGAGCAATGAACAGCCAAAGGGTCCAGGAGAAAACAAAGGGTAATTAAATGATGGAGACTAATGAATGTGCAAGAAGGAAGGAAAAAAGTGTGAGAAAAAGACAGAAGAGATTTATGAGGCAAAAAAGAAGCAGAGTAGAATAACAAAGAGGGCTTCACCAAATAATAGCAACTGGTAAATACAATACAACAGTATGGATTGCACAGGAACAAGTCAGATGAAGTGAGTAATTGGGGCAGTAGGGGTAGAACCACAATAACACAGAAGAGTACTCTGAACACAAATATTAAGGGCACTTAGACACAAACTGGCAATAATCAAACAGTTATGTGCTTAGAAAACACTAAAAATGTTCTAGGTTCTTTATGAACTATGTACATGAGAAATGAGAGATGAAAGCATATGTACAGATGAAGATGAAACTGTTCTTAACTGTGATGTGTCCTGCTTAGAGCATTAACTCAAACCACCAAGGATGCAAAGACTGTCAGCACAGAGATACAGCACATTATGCTTAAACTTTAGATGTCTGAGCTGCCCTAACAACTGTTCAGTAGTTAGAAAACTAAGCTAGAACAACACAGGGAGAGCAAGATCAGTTAACACAGTTGTCATGACTCGTATGGTCTGAAATTCACAGTGCTTGCTTGATCATCTCACAATGATCATTGTTAAAATATAAATACTGAGCAATATTCTCAGGAGGTTGCAGTAAGATGTTTGTTAAATCATGTATTTTAGAGGAATTAGAAGAATCAATCCAGTTGATGAAGAGAAGGTAGCAGTTTCAATTACTCTGCATTTCCTATGGGCTCTGCATAACCAACTAATTATTACTATTCAGCAAGTAATGCACAGGTATTTTGTAGTCTGAAATGCTGAGAGCAAATATTTCATACTATAGTTCAACTTGCCAAAGCAGGTGCCAGGACTTGCTCTTCCAGAAGAAAGATCAAGAGGTTTAGCAGGTAGGAAGATGCTTGTGAAATTTAAGACCAGCTTTGGAAAGGCAAGCATCCATAAGGAGCGTTAGGAAAAATGGAGGGGGTTGTAAATTAGATCTGAATGGGTCCAAGAAACAAAGCCTTGTCAGGCAAGGCAGGGTAATACACTTACTCAAGAATAATTTAAAGCTCTACTTCTTGGGTGTACTATGTTGACCAAACCTGTTAACACTCGTAAGACAAGATGCTTCTTCAAGAGTGTTGGGTTTCTGGAGTTAACATTGGTGTAAAGAAACAAAACAAATTATTAATTTATACTTTCAGAAATAAAAGTGGTTGTAATGAAATGGGAAGGAAATGGAAGATTAATGAAGGAGTCTTTAGTGTTAACATTGCCATTTGACTCAAACCACTTTCATGTTTGTGGCACATGAAACAGCAAAGAATGCTGTTCCACTGGTTTGAAAAGGTCACAGCTATGACAGTAACACAGCAAAGACAGCCCAGTTCCTGAAGTGCATAAATGACAACCAAACATTGGCAGGATCTGGCACAGTGTTATTTCTTAGTTAGCACTCCCATAACCACAAAGATTAGATGTATGGGGGAAGTAGTTTATTCTGAGTTTTTTTTAAAAGTAGTTATGTTTTCCACAACACCAAAATATGATGTTAATAAAATATTTTGTTCATTTGATTTAAAGTTTGCAACTGAAGTACCTGTCTAAACTGTCTTCTGGTTAAGAAGTAAAGCCTCAGCCAGGAGCACCATATAATTCAAGTATTTCATTAATACACAGTGTTCAAAAGCAACAAGAAGTTCCAGCTCCCAGTACTTTGTCTGAGGAATCTCCTGCATGACTTTGCACACCAAATTCCAGTTTATTCTTGTATTAATGAATATCTTTGTACTTAGATCTCTCAAAGGGCTTCTGAAGGGGAAGAAGTCTCTAAGGACCCAGTTGTTTAATTCTCCTGAAAGTATATAGTAGACCTATTGGTATCAACGTGACTACTCTGCTGAGAAACAGTGGCCAAGATAAATGTCAAGGATGATTCTTCCTGAGGGAGAAGAAGCAGTCTAAAACCCTTTTGCTGCAGATAGTTTGATTTGCTGGACATTGTTATTATATATATGAATACAATATTTTTCTTATATTTAGAAATTACTAAGAAATGCAAACTTCAAAAATACAGACGTTATCCATAATGCCTGTCTGCAATTATATTCTAATCTCTACTAAATTCTATTTTAGCAGCTTATTCCTATAAGAACAGTGTCCCTGTATGAGGCTGGTAATCCTGTCTCCAGCAGTAGAAAATAATGAAGTTTTAAAGAAAAAAAAACCACAGCAACTATGTACAACATCTCCCTGAAGTACTCTTCTAGCATCCAAACATTTGTGGCTTATCTTTTTTTTTTTTAAATTTATTTTTCTTGACACTTATTTTAATGGATTAAATCAACTCTCTCATCTTGGCATAAACAGTATCACTAAAGGTGGTGAAAAACTTGAGCAAAAATAAATTTGAAGTCAATGAAGTTTCTCTGACATTAAGCATTGACATGTATTTACACATAAGATAGAATTTCTTTAGGTACTAAGCATATTTATTTCCTAGAAAATTTTGTAGAGAAATTAAGTAAACCTGCAATATCATATTAACTGAAGATTTCATAGACCTGATAATGTTCTTATTTAAGGGGACAGCAATGTAATATTTGAAAGATTCTACAGATGGCACTATTGGAGAAGACTTGGCAGTGGTGAAAATAAACATGGTTTTCATGACAATATTTCTATACATTTTAAATTATTCAATAGTTTTCTTTAGCAGGATTAGTTTTGTGACACATACATTCATAAAATCTATTAAAATAATTTTTCTTGACTTCAAGGCATGATAATAGAATGCCACTGCCTTTTTCACAATGAAATAAGATAATAAATAGATTTCTTCAACTATATATTAGTCTCTGAATTCCATAGCTACAAATACTGCCTGTCAACATACAGCTCTTGAAGAACTGAAAGCAAATGTAAAGAGCTTTTCATTGTTCTGTCCTTGGTTTAGTGAGGTACTTGTCAAGCAGTAAAGCCATTTCCTTGATGAAAAAATGGCAAACAACTTCCTTGGGCCACATTTATCAGCTCAAGTCAACTTTCTATATATTATTCTGACATCAAATTCCATTATTCCGATACAAAAATACAGCAAAATTTTTGATAGTACCTGAAAAACTGACAGAAAGGAAAAAAAAAAGTAATGACAATTCTATAACTATTTAATCTATCTTCACAGTCATGGTGAATGAATGAAAAATGGAAAACTGACTTTTGAAATAAATTTAGCTATAAATATCTTTTTCTTTCTACATAGTCCAGAATGTTACTTCATATACTTTAACTGCTATTGTAAGACAGATTAATTCACAGTATGATTTAGCTCAAGACTTGACAATATACCTTATATACACACACTGAAGTACGTATACATGTACGCATATGTTGGACTTATCTTACAGTGCAGTTAGATTTGCACAAACTATTCCATAGTTACTAT